TATAATAGCATCCATGTATTACGAGATTTGAAAAAAAAAATCGTATTCTTGCTCGAAATAAGGCGTATGCGCGTTTCAAAATAACGCGCAGGGGGTTATTACGTGCAATGCAGTTTATACGTATAATACTGTAATGAATATTTTTTTTATACTGTATTTAATTGAATAACTTGTAAGAATGCAAAGAAAGAACGATATCACTTTAAAGAGCATATTAAAACAAACCGGTAAAGAAAATTTAATTGTATAGAATTGCTAGTTCAAGAATATATTTACTATTAGATGCAACTATTTAACTATACCGATACCAATTTTGAATATACCAGGTGGGTAAAAAGTTCCCGGACGGAGACCTTTTTTTATTATCTCTACTAATATTAAAAATTTTTATAATCTATATATCTGAATGATAGAAAGTCCCTAAATGAGACCTTTTTATTAATAACTAAATTACGTATTTTTTGTTATCATCTTAACGACTACTTTATTATACTGGTCATACAGTATTGCGAATATCTATAGATTTATAAAAAAACTTTCAATTGTATCTCTGTTCGGGAACTTTTCACTCACCTAGTATATTGCTTAATGAATCTAAGGAACTAAAGTAAATTTTGACCGAATTAAAGGGAATTTATTCGATTTGATTATATCAACCTTTATAACTTTGTTGAAATTCTATAATGCAATCATAAAAATTGATGCACTTATTTAAAATATGCAATATACTATTTATTTGCATCAATTAATAAGTATACAGAACTTTAAATACTATATAGTCACTAAATAACACGTACGGACATTATTTCTAAAATTGCCTCTCCTTAAAAATATTAAGATTCAAAATAACATGCATACGCGTCCTGAAATAACGCCTACTTAGTGCATGAACATACTTGAAATAATACGCAGAAGTGTGTTATTTCGTGACTATACAATAATCAAAATATTTACTCTTTAAATGTATTAAATGTGAGTGAGCATAAAGAACGATTATAATCTAATAAGCTATTCAATTTCATGTATATTTACTGTAGGGATGATGTTGATATTTGAACTTATTTTAATATGAAATTTAAAAATTTTTAAGCATGTTTTTTTAGTTTTTTTTTTATGTTTGGATTAGAATTTAGGGTTAGGGTTTATAATTAAAGAGTATATGTGAAAGAGTATACCACGTATGTGGGTTTTAGTAGTATTTATATTTTTAAATAGAGGCCCCAAATTTAGCATTATTCCCAACATTTATTTCCATTAGTCAAGAAAGTAGAAAGAACATTTATTCATTTAATTATTTAAATAAATATTATCATTTAATTGCATTAATTAGATGATGAGTATAAATAAAATTTATTAATTTAATATTAATAGACAATTTTTTACTCTTTAATTTTTATTTTATTCGTGTTGATTTTGGGAAATGAGGACAGATATAGATGGAATGAAACGCTGATGAAATATTATCATGTTAGATATCTCTATCTAAATAGAGTTTGAAAGGCGAACATAAGGCATTAATTTATTATCAAAGTTTGCATATATGAGAATACCAATGAATTTGAAATTTTTATATCACTACGAAAGAAGAACTGAAAATTAAAAGAATGAACATAAGACATTTGTTTATTTTCATAAATTTGCTAAGATGGGCATCTATTGAAGCAAATAATGTTAGATATCGTTATGAAAAGGGAATTGGAATTCGTTATAAAAAGAGAATTGAAATTAATAAGGACTAAAGAAAACATGTAATGTTGAATATTGTTAGGAAAAGGGGATTGAAGTTGAAAAGGTAAAATAAAAATAAGTAGAGATAAGAAGTGCTATGAATATTTTGTGTATATAGTTGTTTGTTATATGAAGCCTTTGTTATATGAAGCCTAGAAGGGACTGAGCCCAGACTAAACTTAAAGTTGGTATCGAACCTGAACTAAACTGAGTTTTAAAAAATTTTGGATTTGAGATTAGTGTGAAAATCAAACCAAACCGAACATAACCAAAGGTAGATTCGGTTCAGTCCCTAATTAATCTAATACAGTATGAATTTTTTTTTTTTTTCAATGGTTTAATTGCCTATTGTGTGAAATGTACTAGATCCGGGTCTTGTATTAACGGTGCTTCAAATTTGGTTTATTAATTAGTAATTTAGTATAAAGTGTTTATTATACTGTATTTGATAGTTAAGTATACTATATACATATTATAAAAAAATTTATTAGCAATAATAATCAATTCTACAAATATTAATAAATAAATAAATAAATATAAATATAAATATATAATATATATACAGTAATATATATGTATATAATATTAAAATATATACAGTATATTTTAAAATTAATCTATATATTATTTTAAATATATACAGTATATACAGTAATTGCTTTACCATGATTTAGTTTGTCTCTTAAATATAATACTATAAAGTATTTGCAGGAAAATTTGCCTGGGCGCAGATGGTCCCCAAAGAATTTAAAGAACGCAAGAACCAACACTATGCACTGCCAAAAATAATAAGGCGAAAGCGCTCGAATAGGTGATTTAGTTTGCTTAAAACACCACATACCCTTAAATTATAATTTACATATGATATGCTCAAAAAAGTGCATAAGTGCATTTGTCAGAAATTTTGCTTATAAAACGATGTAAGGGATGTAAGGGATAAAATTAAATTATATTGTATTAATGTTTGTATTAGTTTAAAAAATTACTCTCAACTTTTTATCTTAAAATTCTAATAAAATCTGCATCTAAATTGTAATCTAATGCAAATTTTAATTTAATATTAAAATATATATCGTTTTTTTTTTTAAATATACAGCATATATATATACTAAGTACACACATAATATATAATACTGTATAAAAATCTTACAGTATTGAATATTATATCTATATATTCAGAATACCTAAATAAATAATAACATATATACTTAAATATATACTTAAAAATATACTTAAATATATACTTAAATATATACTTAAAAATATACTTAAAAATATATTTAAATATATATTTAAATATATATTTAAATATATATTTAAAATTTAGCCTCAAACAATTTTAGACAGTTTATGAAGATATGCATGTAAGAGACTAGATATATAATTTATATTATTTTTATTTTAAAAGACTATTATATATATGAACATATATATGATAATTTAATTAATATCGGTAGATTTTAAATAATTTCTTAGAATACTATTGAAGGTTATAAGAACATGGATTTAAGGATCTGTTTCAATCTTTGTTACAACGCGATGTGTGAAGTATCATTTTGGGCAATCAACTGGAAAAAAAGAAATAATATTATACAGTAGGAACAGATCATTAATCTAACAGGAATGAATGTATTTTTTATCAATCTCATCTGACAATAAGCAAACGTTAACGTTAACAGTTTAACATCGGATTCAGCTGATACGTACGTATTTGATTATGCATCAATTAATTGATATATTAAAACCTTTTGGCCGAAATCGGAAATACTAAAGTCGCGTGATTTTTATATCTATGTATATACTATCACATGCAAAAATTATTTTAGTTAGATTCAAAAATTTTTTTAAAAAAAAAATTTTTTTTTTAAAAATGTTTTTCATATCAAAAATATTTAGGTTTGTCGAAATTTAAACATGTCAAATTTTCAGTTATATACTTAAGTTACTTAACAAAAGGATTTAAATTATGCCGACAATAATATTGATATGCTAATGTAATACAGACTAAGTAATACTAAGTAATACTAAGTAATACTAAGTAATAATACTAAGTAATACTAAGAAATTCCTAAATATATAATTTGTTGTCGTTATGATAAAATAACGGGCAGTTGCAGTAGTGGACAGTGCATGTATCAATATTCAAAGTGCATATCATGAATAGGTCTAAGCGATATTTTCAAATTTATCAACTGATGAATAATTTTTAAAGTCCCCAGAAACTGTATTCAAAGAGAATAATAATATGCAAAGAATATCGTACAAATTAAAATCTTAAAAAAAACATCAAACGTGTGGGTGTGTGGGGTTGTGGTAGTAATTCTGTAATTCATGTAACGGTAATCAAAACTTTAACACTTCAGATTTAATCTTGATCATGTTGCGAGAGTACCACGACATTCTATAAACATCCTAATCCAAAAAAATTCTTGATCAAAACTTACCAAATTCATTTCTATCATTTACATTCCGATCCTTTCCGAACAAGATGCCAATTTTAATACTCGTTTTTTTGTGGGCACTGGTACACCGCATGGGCTTTCTGAAAATAGTAGACACATAACTTACGTATCATTATTATTTATCGTTATATTGTTTGTTATTATATTATCTTATATATATATCGTTATACAAGTAAGTACTCAATTTCATCAAAGGATTTTTTGTAAATTTAGAATTCCAGCATTTGTGTATCCATTTAACAAAATAAGTTTTTTGGGCGTTTCGTAAGATGTCTAACAATGCTTAAATTATTACTTCAAAATTACTTTTTAGATTTGAAGTTTTCCGTGAAAAAAAATTTTCTTTAAAATACATCCCAAAAATTACGCTTATCTCATCTATTTTAGTTTCTTGATTTAAACCATTAATCATTTATATGTATATGAGCAAGTCTCAACCGATTTTTGATTTACATGAGTAATTCTATTTCTTATCTTTTTATCTACGTACTAAACTATTATCAAAATGATTTCATTGTTCTTTTGATATTTCGTTTTTGTGTAATTGTATGACTCGCCCGAGATAGAATCGATATTCGGTTACACCGAAGATTAAAATCAGAAAATATTCTGGTATTTCTTAAACAATGCCGAATATTGTTGTAAAGTTCTGCGTAACTGCATCATTATTTTAAAAATTTGTTACAGGAAAAAAAAAAAAAATTCCCTTCTTGTTAAATAGCCTAATAACTGCGCTATAAATTCCTACCATATTCTCAATTAGATATTTCACTTTCTAATCCAAAAAGTAATAGAATTAAATACTCAATAATGCCTTATAATAATTATCAATTAAACGATTTACAAAGAAAAGCTTTAACCGATCTATTCGCACATCTTCAACACTTTAACCAAGAATTTTCAAAGTGTAATTTTCTTAAAAATGAAGATTCCCTCTACTTGCGAAATATAAAAACAACTGCCATTAATCTTAGCTTTTATTATGTACATCAAAAAAATGTTGTAATTGGTGATGAAATTTTTAGAAAAGCTGTTAAAGACCATAAAGATTGGTATGAAGTGAATAAGCAATGGATCATATTTTTTGTATATTTGGCAAAGAGTTCGGTTGAAAAATATTCATCACATGCTTGTGTGCCTTCAGTAGAAGAGACTAAAAAAGGCGACGATTGGAAAAAAAATGCGTTTTCTGATAGCGTGGGAAAGGGTCAATCTTTTACTTCTAAAAAGTCAAAAAAAATTCTGCAAAAAGTTTCTGACGATCAATTTATTAAACCACCAAAGAAGTTAGATATTGATAAAAAATTTGTGCCCATTCAAAAGAAGAAATTTATGAAAAAGTGTTCGGGAAATTTGTAAGTAATTTTATCCAATTATATTAACTCTTAATTTACTTAAATTTATGTTTGTATAAGTTACTAATCATTAAAATTACCTTATGAAATTTAGGCCTCAACCTTCAACATTACAATTACTCATATATTCTTGTCAATTTTTTACTATAATTTTATTCATAATTGTATTTATATTTTGTTGTTTCATTGGTCCATTTGTCATTTTGGAATAAGGACTTTGTGTAAATTATATATATTTGATTAATCATTATTCATTTTTTTAAAAAAATTTTTTTTTCCTCCTTATCATTTGTAGTTTCCTTCAATTGTAGTTTTTTCTCCCCCCTATCATTTGTAGTTTTTTTTTCGATTTTAACATATTCATTTGCATTAGCGGTTGGAATTTAGGTAAATTTATGACAAATTTACAACACGTTTTTTTAATCTATTTTTTTTTTTTTTGTACATAAATTCTGGCTTGATCTGTTTTTTTCTAAATTGTCATTTTATATAGTTATACATTCTTATCAATACCTTATTCGGTTGTTCATATTTATTTTTACTATAGGACCTTTGTAAATCTTTGTAAATAAATTCTAAAAATGAACATTTAATCTTTTTCAAAAATATTTATGTGCTTGAATGAATTGTTTCACGAATACTAGAATTGATTTTATTTTTTCCGGTTGAATTTTTGAACTTTTCCTTAGAATGATAAAAAACCTGCGCGTATTTCATGTGCAAAAAAAAACCTCCTTATAGCAAACATTTACATTTGCTAAACAAATTTATATTGTAGGAACATGAGAAATTAGCGCAGCAAAAGTCGTTAACTATTATAGTGATTAAAATAAATCTTGGTATGGTTTTTAACGATTTCAATAAGGCCAACATAAGTTTCAAAATATATTCAAAGTATTTTTTATAGAGTATTATTCTATGATCCATATGATTTTGGTATAATTTCTTTAAAAATATTTTGTTACATTCAAGAACATATTCTAGCTTAAATTTATATCAGAATACCATTAACAAACTCATTTCTTTTCAAGTAATAGAAATATATCCAAAGTCCCTTTACTTCACTAGTCTTTTAATATTAACTCCATTAAGAAATGCGACAGGATGTTAAATATATATATACTGTATATTTCTTTCTTTTTTCTTATATTGTAGTAGAAACTTTATTGATTATGCTACTTTAAACTCAGCTCCCAATAACTAGCCTATTACTTCCAATTAAGTCTTCTGCTACACACCGGGAAATTCACCAGGTATGTAAGATATGTATTAAAAACTTTACTATATTTCGGACAATATATTGTTTAGCTTTTTGTTTTTTTATCATCTGTCTCTTACTCAACTGATTTAATTGTTTCATTTATCATATAAGTGCGAAATAATGTCCACCTGCGTGTTATTCGAGTACGCCCATGGGCCTTATCTTGGTCTTAGAAGAATTAGTTAATACTGCGCAATCACATGGTTAAGATTCATGCATTAGAGTGCGCGGCACATTATATAGTTTGGTCAAAGTTTTGTAAAGAACTACAGTCAGACCTCTCTCTCTAAGTGCACCCTCTATAAGTGCACACCCTCTCTAAGTGCACCCTCTATAAGTGCACACACTCTCTAAATGCACGCTCAAGTGCCAGCCCAAATATATACTTGACCTCCATAAATACACCTTTTCTTATTATTCTCTATATGAACGTGGTCCCGAGGGCGTGCACTTAGAGAGGTCTGACTATATTATTATATCTCTACAAGCCAAGCTATAAGGCTATTTTCAAAAAATGATTCTATTCAGTCTCTTTTTTTTGGTCTTTATATATATGTTGTGAGTGGAAATATAATCATAATAGGTTCGGAATCCACTTAGATTAGAATTTAAAAATCCCAACTCTAACCTCAAAATTCCGAGTCTGTTCTCACTTACAACATATATAAATGAAAGAAAGCTTTATTTGCAGAGATATACTGCATTATTGACCTTTATAAAATTTTAACTAAAGCTATTAAAGCTATTAAACCATTAATCTAATTAAAATTAATTATAGTATATAGGTAAAATCAGGATCTATGTAAAAATCTTTATTAGTAAAATTTATTATATACCAATAATTTTATTTACATACTGTAATGCACCTATAGTTGTTAGGCGAATCCTATTTTCAAAAATGACGAAAGATAAAACCTAAGTCCAAATAGCGAAAGACGAAATCCATGCCATAAAAAATAAAAAAAAAAGATGAAAGATGAAAAAACCCTTGCCGAAATGCCGAAACCTAATAAAATATGCAAATAATAGATACTTGATGGTTGAAAAATACTTTACGTTAGGGTTAGCGTTTAGAACAAGATTGGAAGTTAGGAGTTATTTAATAAAATGCTTAAGGAAAACTTTTTGTTAATGCACGAAAGGCAATTTATTATGCAAATTTTTGATGTTTTTCAAAACAACGTTTAGTTTGTTTTGAATTTTACATCAAATTATGATTAACTATTGGCTATCATCACGCGTCCGTGTTTTTGATTACGCTCGAGGAATTGGCTTAGAAGTCACAGGACAGATACTTTTTATGACATACGCTAAGCTTAAAAGATGACACTAGGTTTTTTAAAATGCAGCACTAACGTATTTTTCGATACGGTTTATTAACAGTTCATTTAGTCGACATCACATAGGGTTAGCGTTTAATTAGTTGTACGTACGTATATAAATATATATTTGTGTGATATGATCATGTAAAAATTTTTTGGCTCGATATTATTGTCATAAAATGACATCATCATTTATGCAAAATGTCG